CCCAACTTTCTATCTCATCAAAAATGCAAAATTAGAAAGAGGTGTACCAAGACTAGTAATTAATTATAAACCTTTAAATTCTGTATTAGAATGAATCAGGTATCCAATTCCAAACAAACAGGATTTAATTAAAAGAGTTAATAATTCAGTAATCTTTTCTAAATTTGATTTATAAAGTGATTACTGACAAATTCAAATCTATCCAGAAGATAGATATAAAACTGCATTCACACATCTTTTTGGTCATTATGAGTGGAATGTAATGCTATTTGGACTAAAAAAGGNCTAGTGGAAACTTCGGGTGTAACAAAGTTGTCATCTCATGATGGGTGTTCACAAATAAATGATAATTATAGAATTAATTTGGTTAATAAAATTAGTTTCCAAAAATGATATTCTAAAGTAAAAATCATCATTGATAATGATTTTGAATTAGAAACCATTGCCTTAATTGACACTGGTGCAGATGTAAACTGCATCCAGGAAGACATTATTCCAACTAAATATTATCAAAAAACCATTGAAAGACTTAGTTCGGAAAATGGTAACAAAATGAATGTTAAATATAAACTACCAAGTGTGCATATCTGTCAAGATAATGTATGTTTTAAAACATCATTTATCTTAGTAAAAGATATGACTGATGAAATTATTTTTGGATTACCCTTTGTATACTTATTGTATCCATTTACAACAGATACAAATAGAGTAACCACGAAACCACTTGGTCAGAAAGTACCATTCAAATTTACAGCCAAACTAGAAACCAGAAAGATAAGACAACTTAAAGATCATTCAATCTCTAAATATCTTAATCTTATTAATAAAAAAATTAAGCAAGTAAAATTTCTCAAAGAAGAAATTAATCACAAAAGAATTCAAGAACAGTTAACAAATCCAACCTTAATTAGAAAGATTAATCAGTTCAAAACAAAACTGGAAGAAGAAGTATGTTCTAACCTTCCTATAGCTTTCTGGCATAGGAAGAAACACATGGTAAAACTTCCATATATAAAAAGATTTAGTGAGACAAATATTCCTACTAAATCCAGACCCATCCAAATGAACCATGAAGTAATGAAAATCTGTAAAAAATAGATTTTTGAATTACTCAAAAATGGTATCATTAGGAAAAGTAAATCTCCTTGGTCATGCCCAACTTTCTATCTCATCAAAAATGCAAAATTAGAAAGAGGTGTACCAAGACTAGTAATTAATTATAAACCTTTAAATTCTGTATTAGAATGAATCAGGTATCCAATTCCAAACAAACAGGATTTAATTAAAAGAGTTAATAATTCAGTAATCTTTTCTAAATTTGATTTATAAAGTGATTACTGACAAATTCAAATCTATCCAGAAGATAGATATAAAACTGCATTCACACATCTTTTTGGTCATTATGAGTGGAATGTAATGCTATTTGGACTAAAAAAGGCATCAAGTGAATTTCAAAATATAATGAATGAAATTTTTAATTCCATTAGTCATTTTTCTAAAGTCTATATAGATGATATTCTCATCTTCTCCAGATCTATGGAAGAACATTTGAAATACCTCTATGCATTCCTTGAGATAGTCAGACACAATGGTCTAGTTATCTCAGCTAGTAAAATTAAGTTGTTCCAGACCTCAGTAAGGTTCTTAGGATACACCATCCAACAATCCACTATTTTTCCCATCAGTCGTTCTATCTAATTTGCAGATAAGTTCCCAGATAAGATCACTGATAAAACCCAACTTCAAAGGTTTTTAGGTTCTCTAAACTATGTTTCTGACTTCTATTAGAATCTTAGGCAAACCGTCAAACCTCTGTATGACAGACTCAAAGGAACTCCTCCTCTTTGGACATCTGTTCATACATCTATAGTTCAACAAGTTAAGCAGTTCATCAAAATTTTGTCTTGCCTTGGTATTCCTTCGGTTGATTCCTTTAAAATCATTCAAATTGATGCCTCCGACATTGGCTACGGTGGTATCCTACTTCAAAAACTTACTCTAGAGTCTCCAGAACAAATTGTTCGATTCCATTTTGGTATCTGGAATAAGACACAAGTAAATTATAGTACCATTAAAAAAAAAATTTAACTATTGTCCTGTGTATCTCTAAATTCCAGGATGATATACTAAATCAGAAATTCTTAATAAGAATAGACTACAAATCAGCAAAGTATGTTCTCGAAAAGGATGTACAAAACATTGCTAGTAAGTAGATTTTTGCCAGATGACAATCTATTTTAAGTATTTTTGATTTTGATATAGAATATATTAAGGGCAGTAATAACTGCATTCCTAATTTCCTAATCCGTGAATTTCTGCAGGAACCTCATGGCGGACAGGAAAGATAATAGCCTTGGATCCTCTTCCAAAGCCAGGAGGGATACAGGAAAGAAAAAATTTAGTCAAATATTTGCTCAAGAAAAGGCAAACCTGGATAAACAGTTGGCCTTGCCAAGCCCAAAACCTTTATCCTCTTCTATCCGGATTACCAATAGGTTTCAACCCTTTGATAATCCTAACCCAATACGGCCATTAGCCAAATCCACTATAGTGCCCCCTAGCATTTTCCTCCAAATGACCCAACAGGCCCCTAGACCTGTTGCACCAGTCCAACCTGGCACCTCTAACCAAATTACCAACCCATATTCTAAGTACAAAACCCAGTTTATCCCTAACAGCCCAAACACACACTATGTCAAAGCCTATACACAAAATGTATTTGCTATTGAACCAGTCCATGCTCACCTAAGCAACCCACTGGACTTAGTCTTAGTCTACCTTGAGCCAAGATGGACCCTTATTTCATCTGATCCTAAAAAGACCTTCCAATTCTATCAGGATATACTATTTTTTACTCAATCCATTTTTTTCAAACCCATATTTGATAGAAATGATCAGAGTAAAATCATTTATCATTCTTTACATATTTTAAAAATTATTTCTCTCAAAGAATGGGGATCTCATCCTTCTTCACTCCGAGATTTATCTCATCATAAGAGAAAATTCAATTACTATGATTATAAAGAATCATGGTTTAAAATTATACTCTACCAGAATGATTCTTCAGATCATTCATGGTTCTTACAATTTCATAAAGATTTCAAGAGCCAGATTTTGTCCTGGTTCGCACAGTGGTGGTTTATTCATGACCCCATTCATGAAATCTTTCCAGTTGATCTTCAAGTCAGATTATAGCCTTCTCCTCTGTTTATAAATCTAGTAAACATGAGAGTCAGTTTCCTATTTTACTAACTTTTATTTGTAGATACAAAGTCCCATGGATATGCAAATGAAAATGAAAAATTATTGGTTACAATGTAGCCAGACAGTTTTATGTCAAGTGGTGGCCTAGGTTCCAGCAAGAACCAATAGTTCATCGTGTCCAACAGGAGTTCCCAATTAAGGTTCCAACCCCAGCGGTGGTTCCGGCAACCCCAACTTTAATAACTCCAGTAAAACAGGTTATGCCTCATCTCAGGATTTATACTCCAGAAGAGCCCAAGAAATCCGCTAAGGAAAAACCCAAGCAAGAGAAATCCTCCTCTGAGGATTCCAACAAACAATCCAAGAAGAAGTCTGCGGCCCTCATTGAGTTATCACAACAACTTCTTCAAAAAACAGCCAGTGGAGATAGCTCATCAGCCTCCTCACAGGCGTCAGTCACCCCCACATTGGATCCCTTCCAAGACAGTCAGGATCCGTATGCAGCATATGATGATCTGGTAGATATATCTACCCCATAATAATGCTTGTCTATATGTGTGATACTTTCAATCACTACTTTCTTCAATAAAGAAAGAAAATCTGTCTATTGCACATATCGATGAGATATTATTTGGCACTCTGGATCTTTCCCTTAGTAAAGATACCACTAGCCACCTATCAAAATCTGCTTTCCACCGAAAGTGGATTCTTTCAGACAACAGTAGGACCCACCTACCATTTAAGTCAGCATTCACATGGGTAAAAGTAATTCACCTCTATTTTTTCACCGAAAGGCTAAGGTGAAACTATTTTTCCCAAGTTAAAGCATCCAATGAAGACAACGAATTAATCATTTCAAAGATTCCTTCAGAATTCCTTATGTCTATATAAGGACTTCAGTCTTCACTCTCCGGGGGAAGTTTTTTTGCTAAGGCAAAATTACACACCTAGCAAAAACACTCTTACCTCCACTATAAACCTGTATTTTGAGATCTCTCATAATGATGCAAATGAAGAGATTCTCTCCTATCCTCTTTCACTACTAGCCCACTTAGTGCTAGTATTGTAATTTCTGTAATTTTGTTTGTAAATTATTCTACATCTTGTGATTCTACCTGAACTCACATGAATTTCGCACTTATATATATATATAATAATAATAATAAAATAGAAGTGTGTTTAAATTTTATTCAAGTCATATTTTTCTCCTCAAAATCATTACCAATCACTTATCTCACCCATCATCCCTTTGCCAGACTCAAACGTCAAATCGTATTATTTATTTATATCATATGTTTTATCATTTATTTATTTCTTTCCTAAAAATATCACATCACTTATTTCTATCATATATTTAATTATTTAATATTTAATTAATTTATATTTAATATATTTTTAAAAAAATTAATATAATGAAATCAATTTTTTAGACGTTCAAATTTTATATTTTATTATGCCTTCATATACGAGTTGACTAGTATATATATATATAGAATATTGGTGTAGTTGTTAAATAGCACATTTTGTAAGAAATATAGGCGATGTCCAATAATATTCTAAGAAGCATGACTGATATTCTGAAGCATACATGTGAGGCAGTCAAATATATATATATATATATATATAGAGAGAGAGAGAGAGAGAGAGAGAGAGAGAGAGAGAGAGAGAGAGAGAATATGAATATATGATATGTAACTTTATATAGATCTATATAATGTTTCCCTCTTCAGTACCCAACCCTCAAAACATCCAACCACTCATTCGGTCTTCTCTCTCTGAGCTTTGTTTTTCGAAACATGGAAGGCTTGAGCTTCTTTGTTGGGGCCATAGGTGAGTGAGATCAGTTTATTTATACTCTGTTCTGTCTATAAAGCATTCATTCATGCAAATGAAAATGACCTCATGTTTTTTTCCTTCTTGCAGGCAACATTATCTCAGTACTTGTTTTCCTCTCCCCCATGTAAGCTCTTTCAAACTTAGAGAGAGAGAGAGAGAGAGAGAGAGAGAGACTTTTTGTGAATGTTTTTTTTACTTTTTATTATTTATTTATTTTTTGTTTTTTTTGTTTTTGTTTTTTTTACTTTTTGTGAATGTGTTATTAGTGATGATGATGGAATTGTGAATGCAGAGGGACTTTTTGGAGAATAGTGACAAACCGATCCACAGAAGAGTTTGAGAGTCTTCCTTACATTTGCACCTTATTGAACTCATCTCTATGGACTTACTATGGAATCACAAAGCCTGGAGGATTACTTGTAGCCACTGTTAATGGATTCGGCATCATCGTCGAAACTGTCTACATCGCCTTGTTCCTTATATTTGCACCTGAAAAGATGAAGGTAACATCTTCCATCTCATTTGACACATAAAACTCGAGTTTAATTAATCCTCCATGATTCAAATATAATTACATATACCCGAGATTTGCATCGTCTTTTTCCTTATATTTGCACCAGAAAAGGTAAAGCTATCATCTCCAATCTCCCTAGACACATAAAACTCGAATTTAATTGATCATCCATGATTCAAATAGATTACATATATCCGAGATTTACATCTTCTTGTTCATTTTATTTGCATCAGAAAAAGATAAAAGATAACATCTCTGATCTCCCTTCACACAGAAAACCCGAGTTTAATTGATATCTATGATTCAAAATATGATTACAGGCTAAGACAGTGGTTCTTGTGGGGATACTAGACGTTGGTTTTCTAGCAGCAGCGATATTATTTACTCAATTGGCCTTGCAAGGAGACTTACGGATTGAAGCCATTGGGTTATTGGGTGCGGGCCTAAACATCATCATGTATGGCTCGCCTCTAGCTGTCATGGTAAGTAAAGCTTTAATTGTATATATATATATATATATATATATATAAATGTATATGCTAATAGAAATTCGGCCAGACACTAATAGAAATTACATATTATATAAGATACTCTGCATATTATATAAGATATTGTCAGACAGATAATCGGTCATATATATATATGCTAATCGAAATTGCATATTATATAAGATACTGACAGATAGACTGTCGGCTATATATATATATATAAGAGAGAGAGAGAGATTCTAAGGCTACTGCTATTGTTGACTTGGTATACAGAATGTAGCAATAGTTTTCACAAAAGCAAAGGAGATGTTGATGCCTTTCCTCAAAGTTGTCCACTAATGATTTAATGGGCTAACCCGTTATTGAAGTTACCGTAAAATATAAATTGTTTTGAGAGGTATATTGATGGTTGTTGAATACGTTTATTTGAGATCGTCGAATAAATTTATTGAAGTTTATTTTGTTTTATATTATAGATAGATAAAATTATAGTATTAAAAAGTCTTTTTTTTAATACTAAATTAAAATTTATAATTTTTTTGAGTCAAATTAATTATAATAAAATGAGGTATTTGGGATTGATGCTAAATGTTTGGATGGATTAAAATTAGGATCGACCATAATATTTTTTTTATGATAACTTGACTTGAGAAATTATAACGTAGTTCATAAAATTATAAACCTTTGATAATGTAGTTTTATAGCACTTGAGTCTTACTCATGATTTATATTGACTTGGACAACATGATGGTAATTTCATTTTCAGAGAACAGTGGTGACTACGAAGAGCGTGGAATATATGCCATTCTTCCTGTCTTTTTTTCTTTTCCTAAATGGAGGAATTTGGGCTTTCTATGCTTTTCTCGTGCAAGATTATTTCCTTGGGGTAAGTTCTAATTTATTATTTGCACAATTACCTCATTCATATATTATTACAGACATCAAATAATACACGTCTAAAAGGTACAACTCTCGTTTTTAAAGTACTTCACATTTATCTTCCAAACTACATGAGATTTCGAAGGATAATTCTAATCACTCGAATTGCAAACTTAGGGTGCATGTATTATATGATCTCGAAAGTACGAGAGTCAATGACTCTAATACTATATGTAATGTCCAAACTTATAAAATATATTTTATATAATGAAGGTTCAAATTGAACTGGGTACACAAAAATCTTATAGCCCTAGCTACCACAAATCTTGTTAGGTTTCTGATTCTCCATTTCTGGATCAGCATGATGAAGTTAGACAAATGTGTGGGTGTTGAGATTAGGTACACCTTGGAAAATACATAGAAGTGGGTCACCAAACCTCCCACACCTATAACCATGTCTACAATAGGCCAGCAGGGCCAGCAATAATGCAACATATTAAGTATGTGGGTCCATATATATATATATATTCGTGTTCTGGAAAGTTTACAATTTGTGCAAGTCTTGTCCTATTCTTTGTACAACTTATTTTTGGTCACTAGTCTTTTGTTATTATCTTTGAAGCCACCAATACCATAGTTTTCTTGATGGTGGGCTATCACATTCACAGCTATGTTGACGCTCCTCACAATTCCATTTAATAAGATGTTTTAATCTTTGGCAAGAAAAAATTGTATGGAGGAGAATAATTCAAAGCTTAATCTTGCTACGTACGAGAACTGGTGCAGCACATTCTCTTATGAATTTGACCATCAAGTCCCTTGGGGCTATGGTCTCGAGGTGGTTGCATCTATTGGGTAAAAATTGAACCCGGAGTGGCGGAAATCGGAGGGATGAGGAGATTCGGAAGGTGTTACGCTCCCGAAGAATTGGAATCCCCCAGACCCATCTCATATTCATAAAAAGAGACGAGAGAATTAGAGTATTCAGTTTAATACTCTAAATTCACAAGTTAAATTATGACATTAGTTGGTCTCATGGCCCAGATTACTGGCCCAAAATATTTTGAAAATATTGAGGTTGTGACAAATTTGAAGGGCCATTAAAGCTAGTATGGCGACTACAGGCCCATTAAGGATGGCCTGACTACAGGCTCTGGGCCATTATTTTTGGGTAGTTTATGTAACGGGTCGGACCTTATACTAACGAAAAATGAGGTAAAATTATGGCACAGGTACCAAATGGGATTGGTTTTATACTTGGAATAGCACAACTAGTGCTCTATGCAATTTATAGAAATGCCAAGCCTTCGAAGTGTGCATTGGGAGCATTGGAAGACGGACGGCTACGAGAGCACCTCGTCTCATCGTCGGATCAAACACATGGCAACGATGAAGACCAGAGATTTCTTTAAAAATTTTAAATTGTGATCGACACTTTGAACCCAGCTCAGTTACTGTTTTAATGGGCAAACAGCCCAACTCTTAGAACATATTACAGCCCTAGGTGGCGAATAGCAGAGATATTGTTTGTTGTCATTTGTTTAACAAAAGAAGAGACGATAGGTTTCATAGTTTTTCAAGCTTCAGGCATGTGTATATCTGTTTGAAGATCCATGGGCTTGTTTTTTATGGGTTGGACCTTAATTGGGCTTGGGCTGCAACTCGAATATGCAGAGCCATGATCAAATTGTCATATTGGTTTTGATGGGTCGGGTTTCGTGCCTTTTGGATCCACCTGTTGAAAATACATGTGCTCTTACTTCTTAGTCTTTTGCGCTATTTCCTATCGTGTAGTACTCGCTATTCATGGATTTAACAAAATCGGGGTCGTAGATCTCATTTTTTAACAAAAAGGGGCTTGTTAATCTCGTTTATAAAAAATGTCGTAATTTAGTAAATAAATTTAAAAATATAATATTTCGTTATATTTGTATTAAAAAAATTATACTTTTATAATGTTAATAATTCAAATGTAATTTAAAAAATTATAATTCAAAAAAAATGAAGGAAACTTACTTAACTAATAGATAATATACATTTTACTTATAAATTTTCGAAATCTCAATCTACAAATCTCTCTCTCTTCTAACACGAAAAGCTTTCATTGGTCTCTGAACCCTGAAAACTCTGTACAGATTGCGATGGACAAGAGGCAGAGTAATATTCGCTGCTACCTCCAACTTTTCTTCGTCCAAAATCCAAAACACACATAAATTAAAGCTTCTGTCTCTCTCCTCTGGGGGGAGGTTGGGGGACAACACAGTTAGTTGCAGGTGGGAGATTCTTCTTTGGTAGGGACTGTAGAGAGAGATAGGTCTCTGAACAATATTTATTAGGGTTTTTGCTTGTCTTCTTCTTCATCTTCGTTTCATCTCCTTGTTATCCAAATTTACTAAAATCAAACTAAAATTTATTTTATTATCTCAAAATTTTGTGGTTTAATTATAAGTTTGAATGTCATATGAAAACCCACTTGTAATTTAAGAATTGTATTGAATTAGGTTTTTAGGTTTTAAATTAAGTTTAAATAACATTTTCCCTATAAAATATTAAAATTGCATGACTAGAATATGTGATACTTCTTTTTTTTTTTTTTTTCAGTATATAAAATAGATATATAAATAGGTCGCTCAATGTATTCATAAAAAAAAATATTGTCCTTCAACTATTAGTTACTAAGTAGTTACTCTAAATTCAATTCTATATTTTCGTTCATTTAGAGTATTTTCAACGGTACTCTTCAAAATAATTATTTAAAATGTATTAAAATATTATATTTTTTTGTTTTAATGAGCTATTTTTATAAAGTTATTCCAATCATACTCTCTATCTTAATCAACTACTACCGATATTGCATAGCTCGACAAGTCATTAAAATGAAAAATAACTATTGGCTTGGAGTATAAAAAGAGTAATTTGGCTGGAATGTAGTGGGTCATTTAACATAAATGTAAAATAATTAATCCGTTAAAATATAATTTTGTGGTTTGACTCTTTCTTTGAACTACCAAATGCCAAATAGCTAGGCCGTTGGAGATGCTCACATTTAAATCTTGGACCTCTCTCTCTCTCTGGTTCTCTCTGCTCAGAGCCATCTAACTCTGCAGCCATCGAAGATAACGGAATGAAAGAACAACAAGCACCAGTAGCAAGAGCAATACAAAATAGAGAAGTAAACTGACTGGGGTCATTGGATTTGAAGCTTTTTTGGTGATCAAAAATGGTGATGGAAGTGGTTCAAGAAGACATGGGTGAAGATAACATGCAATGTACAAACCACCCTTACAAGAACAACAGCCCAGGTGGGATCTGTGCATTTTGCCTCCAAGAAAAGCTTGGAAAATTGGTCTCTTCCTCTTTCCCAACCGCCATTTTTCCATCTTCATCTCCATCTTTCAGATCTGATTTTACCAGTGCCACCACTTCAACTCTGCAATTCCGCCCCAATCCATCTTCATCAACCCACCATCAAAATCTGACACACAAGAGTCATAATCATTATCATGATCAGCACTATCCCGGGAGGTCCAAAATACCTTTTCCGTTAGCCACAAAGAAGAAAAAGAAAGATGTAACCATTGCAGCTTCAGATCAGACAAGCATTGTTTTCAAGAGAAGCAAGTCCACCACCACCCCTATTCGTGGTGTTCCTTTTACAGATGAATCTGAAGACCATAGTCCTCACAAGAGAGGGTTTTGGTCATTTCTTCACTTGTCAAAGCATTCTTCAAACAAAAAAACGGAAGAAATCTGCTATGAATCATCAGCAACAAGAACCAACATGGGAGCATCCATTAATGGCTCTTTTTCACAGCAGAGACAAAGAGAGAAGAAGAAAGAAGAGTTTGTAATGGTAGATGATAATGTGAGTCCTTCTGGGACCTCATTAGATAGGAAGGTTTCTAGATCTAAATCTGTTGGGTGTGGAAGTAGAAGCTTCTCAGGGGACTTCTTCGAGCGCATCTCCACTGGGTTTGGGGACTGCGCTCTCCGCCGTGTGGAGTCACAGAGAGAAGGCAAGCCTAGGGTCTTCCCCATGCACCGTGGTGGCGCCGTCGGTGGTGGGCAGGACTACATGAAAGAGAGAGTAAAATGTGGTGGCATTTTTGGTGGGTTTATGATGGCCACATCTTCATCTTCTTCATCATCATCCTCTTACTGGGTGTCATCATCAACTGAGGAGAATTTGTGTGGAAAAACACCTACAGTGTGTGTTTCTTCAAGGGCTGGACATGGTGGTCATGGAAGGAGTAAGAGTTTGGGGTGGGCATTCGCTAGTCCCGTTAGAGCTTTCAGTAAGCCTCCTTCTAGGAAGAGAGAAGCTACAAATAAGAACACCAATCCCAACTTGTCTGCCATTCCTTCCTTGTTGGCTGTGGGAGGCTAAAGATCATACTTAGCTTATTAGCTAAATGCTACACATTTACATTGTAGTTTATTTGTGTTTATTACTCTCCCTCTCTGTATCTATTATGTTTGCCTCTGTTTCATCAGTTCTGGTACACTCTTATCTATTTTCAGGAAGTTCTTGTGAATTTTGACTCTAAACTATGGAAAGATCCACTTTTTATGTTTCACTGCTGAAATTGATATGAATGCAGCCACATTTTAGATTGATTTTGTATGTCACATACAAACTGAATTTTGTGGGGGTGCTCATTGTCCATATGAAAACCCTGTTTTTTTTTTAATTCGTCGAGTCTTTTCAAGGTAGGGTCGGACCCAATTTATGGAGAAAATTTGGGTACCGGCAATCATTGGATAATCAAAGCTATGTTATGGGCTTGGTATCTTTGATCACTTAGTTTGTAAGATTCTGTGTTGCTTGCTGCATTGAGAATTTTTATTTTTTTTTTGCACCTCCTTCATTCTTTGATTAGGAAATTTTTTATGATTCCGGTTGGCTTTGTAGTTTCGAGGCTGGCTTAGATCATGGCTGGAAAGCAATTACTTGAAACTTAATTGATGATATGATGTGTCACTTTTTATAAATTAGGGTGTTGTAACTTTTTGAGCACACAATTGTGGGTTGTGAGATAGATCTTTTATAATACGTTTGATAACGTTTTTGTTTTTACATTTTTTTTATAAAAACAAAATATAAAAATTTTATTTGGTATTATACCAAAAATTCACCACCCAACACCAACACCAAACACTCAACCACCTGCCACCACCAAACACCCACCACCACCACTACCAAAAAAACCTAGGAAGACTCCTGGATGGGGGACATTAAGGTCCCCCATCCAGGAGTATGTCCCCCATCCAGGAGTCTTCCTAGGTTTTTTTTAGTTTCCTTTCTTACTTGATGAGCAATTTTAAGTGAGAGAATGAGCAAAGTGGATCTATAAGAAGGATCAAAGAGCTGTCAGTTTCCTCAATTTTTCTCCTCCCCCTCTTTCACTTTTCCATGGAGAATCATTCTCTCTTTCCCCTCACTCCCTTGAGTCCTTTCCACTCTTCCATTGAGTGGTAGTCCAGATCTCTCTCTCTCTCTCTTTGTATATGTATATGTATGTACACACATTGGTAAAAGAATGACTTGATAGGATAAGTAGTCTCTAACTTTACATGTGCAGGACCCAATGGCACAGCTAATCATCATGAGAAATAGACATAAGAAAGTGAGGAAGAAGAATCATTCTGAAATCCAAGTCAAATGTGCACATGTTTGGTAGAAGAGGATACATTAAAGGTTGTAAATCAAAGGTGCAAATGAGCCAAGACAGACAGAACCAAGCTTGACCAGCATGTTAACAGAGGCTTAATTTATTATTTCTGGATTACAAAACTGCCAAGACATTGTTTTTAGCATTGGTTTTTATGATCAGATATAGGAGAACAACTCATTCATTCAACAAATTCTTCATAATTCTGCTTAAGCATTTGCAATGACTCATTCCTCAACTCTTTGCATGTACATATATGCACACAAGTTTTTGTACATCTTTCGTAAATGTGAACGTTCCAACCATGTGTTATTTAGATTCATGGTGACAACATAAATTTAGGACGGATGAAAATCACATGCAAATTACATGCATCAAAATGGGTTCCTTTTGTGAAACTTGAACTTGAAAACTCGAAATATTAACCATTTTAGTCTTGCAATCCTAGCTATCTTGACGATTTAATTTTTGGACTATTACTCTAATTTTCTAGGGATTTTACTTGTTAGCTAACTGGAACATAAGGGGAATGCATACACCCTCCATTATATTAAAATTTATAATATAAAACTAATAAATTTATTAAAACCACCCATTTTCTATTTCCATCTTGTTAGTCTATAAACTCACTCTAATCTATACCAAACATCGCCTTTGATGCCGCCACCACCACTACCATTGTCACTGTCACCACTGCCCCACCACCAATGTTGCTGCCACCACCACCACCACTACCTAACCACAACCATCGGCCCTACCAACCACCTTTCATATAACTTTGTTGCCAGAGAGAGTGACTGATTGGTTAACTAGTAAAATAGAGATTAAAGGCCTCTGGGGCCATGTCACGTGCCTAATAGATTGTCCAATAAAAGCCCATTAAGGCCGATCTAGGGTACTGGCCATGGCTTGGCCTCATTCCCTGCACTGCACTGGTTGGCCTAGTCCATTGACAAATCAACGATATTCATGTTACCTTATCTGTTAGTTGGAGAAAGATGACCACCATCCAACGGCCCCTCCCCCTTTTTTCCGGACCAAAA